TTGCTGTTAGGTTGGAGGCCATTGCTGTTAGGTTGGAGGCCATTGCTCTTCAGTTCCTTCAAGTCTCCTGCCCAGGTTCCGACTCTTCAACAACACGCCGGACGAGAAGGTACCTGCGAGTCTCTGTTGGAGCAAGCCCAGATAGGGCTCCGTAGGGATCCGTAGGGCTCCAAGCACATCCACAGGTAGGCCACAGACCCCCCCAACCAGCACCCACCCCTGGCCCACCTTCCCAGAAGGTAGTTATAGCAAAGATGCACACATTGAACCTGAAATCAACCATCCCAACATATCCCAACGTATGTAAATATGTCAGTCCCGGCTAGGAGGGTGTTGTGACTGTTGTGAAGACCCAATGCCATGGAAGAATAAAGGTTCATGGAAAGTATGTTGTGTTTCACACCAAATCTGGGTGGTGGTGTCAGATGATTTGGATTTTCAACCTTACTTGGGACGATTGAACTCACTGACTTTTAACTTAAAAAAATGATTTGACCCACCAAGCAGTAATGACTTCGTGGGATGTTTAGAATCACAATTGTTGCGAAGATATTGGATTTGTACGAAAGATCATGTACACTCTGGGTTCCAGCTGTTTGATATAGGATGTGCCCAGTGAATTTCAATTGTGAGCCTGGGTTCAATGTAGAATACCCCAAATCCTGATTCTGCTTAGGATGATGTGTGTTTCCTATGGGTGAAACCCCTTCGGAATCTGCTGTTCCCGGTTCCCCAAGCCAAGCCAAACAAATCATCAGCGGTTGAACACCCAACGGCTGAGGCTCACCAGTGATGTGTTTTTTTTGCAGAAGCTGGGAACCAGGTAATCCCTCTACTGTTCAACAGATGTTCAGACGGCAAGCCTTCTCGCTCTGGGTTTCATCTGTCGAAACGGACTTCGACAGACTAATTGGGAGGAAGACAAATAGGATCTGAAGCGGGCCCTCGCATGATTTGTGCACAGGAGTTTGGTTGTAAAGTTCGGCCAGTTCTAAGCTGCTTGATGCCAATTACAAGCAGACTTGGTCTGACTTTGAGATTGATGCAAGTGTTTGTGACGTCCTCATTGATGCTTCAGACGTCACAGGCTTACACCTGTGGATCAACTATACATACGCTTCCAAAGAATAAACAATCAACGTATATCAATCTAAAATGACCTCTATTTTGGACCGCAACCAACCAACACATGGCCCTTTCCTATCAATTCAGTAGTCAAATGGGCTCTACCAGTAGGAAAACAGTGCTATTGTAACAAGCTCTTGCACCACTGCCGCTGACAAGCAAATGTCCTTTATTCCGTTGCGCACGAGCAAACAATCTTGTGGCCCTCAATGGTTGTGAACGGTGTCCTCTAAATGCAGCTGTTGTGCATCCAAAACGCATCGGTTGCCCAAGACCTGCGGGATTTCATGCTCTATTCCAAACAATCCAAGCAATTTGCTAGAGGCTTTGACTGAGCTGAAATGGTTTTTGATGTTCATTTCGCTCTGAACCGAGAGCGGAGGTAGTTTGGAGTATTCAGGACGTGTTATTTGGTGCTGCCTTGATTTGAGATTTTGCAGAGCTCTCGATGCCTGCCCATCCGCACCGTCCACCCTTTGGCTGTAGCGGTTTCACCAGCTTTTTCAAACACTCTCGATGCTAGGCATGGCGGGTGGACTCATGGACCTAACTGCGGCGAGTTGTTCTTGATGTGCCTAGAGTTTGGAGGAAATGATAGGGCTAGATCACGCCCCGCAGACTGACCAGTGACCCAAATTGATCTGCATCTCTAGCCGCTAGCCTCACTCTTCCAACACGACGCATTGCTACACGACGCATTGCTACGCCCGGACGCTCACGACGCCGCGAAGCCCGGCCTCTGGAGACCCGAAGCTCGTTCGACAGTGCAAAAGGAGAAGCCGAAAGCCTCCGGCACTCGACCGAAAAGAACAAAACAATTTTCCGCCCCCATGGCGCTCAACGTTGCGTAACTGGAGCTGCCGACTCTTCTTCAAGTCTTCTTCTGCTTCCGCACTGGCGGGAAATTCGGCGGAAATTCGGCGGTGAAACTAGCAACTGTTTGTTGAGCTTGTGTTGTTGATGTTTTGTTGGTTTCCCAACAGCGAAGATTAGATTAGGGGTCTTCAGTCTTCAGCCATAGTAAAGATGTTGCCATCGCCTAATAAGCAGAATCAAGCCCAGTTGTTAGGGATTCTTTTTAGCTTATTTATCCGAGAGGTTTTGTAAGGCAGGTGAGGTGGGCGTTGAACGAACGAAACATGTCGACGTCTTGATACCAAAGCACATCGTTCTGTGCGTGTTGTTTCCAGTGGAAGGAAAGACGATTAAATTTCAGAACGTCACTAGGTCAATAGGAAATCAGCTGTTGAATCAGGTGGAGGTAACAGCGAACCCCAATTGCAGCAACTTGCAGGACCAGTGTGTTAGACGACTTTCTTGGCTTTCCCGACGAGGGTCTCAAGGACCCTCCACAGGGGAAAGCCTTTGGCACCTATGTTTGAAGCTTTGGAACTTTTGTGTTCCTGAGCAAGATGACCCATGTGTAATGTGTAATGAATGTACTGCTGTGTTCCTGAGCTGTATACTGCTATACACTTCTTGCAGCAGTCAAGATCATTATAACCGTATTGTAACCTGGTCTACCTCCGTGACCACGTTCAGGTGCTGCTTCACCTCTGAAGGCGCCATGGACGCCACCTTTCTCCACGTCTCGCGCGAGCTCCGCAGAACTCTGCCCGCGAGCACGGCGAACCACGCGCCGGCGTACCGGTCTCCAGGGCCTCCCAGGCACCTGTGACCTGTGTTCGACGGACAAGCGAGAAAGGAAGCGACCGGCACGTCCTGGAGCTACCAGAGGGGAGCAACCTCCACGGTAGAAGGGATAGAAAGGGATGTCCTATGCAGCATACTTAGGTGAAAATTGATCTCTTCTCTCCATCTTGGAAGGGTACATCATTTTCTAGCCGGTTTGGGCCGTAGCTCATGTTGGGTGTCGGTGTTTGTGTTGAAACACACAGCCCCAGTCTGGAAGGATTCTGGAATCTTGTACCGACCTTTTCCGGAGTGTGACGAGAGTCTCACAACGAGGAATGGAAGACATGTGGCGACCTGGCAGTGATAGACTGGTTTCCCTGGCGTCGCTAGGTCACCAGAAGGTCGCTATATAGGCGGTGTGTTTGTGGTGGCGCCCACTTCAGCCCTGGGCCCTGGCGGGGTATTTCCTGGTCTATAGTCCCGTCCTGAACCCAGCAGATCGTTGCCTGGGAGCTCTCCCCGTGTTTGAGATCACCCATGATGCCGTTCTCGGCCGGACCGGTGGATCCGATCGAGTCTCAACAGGTCGGAGCTTCCATCGGTCACCGGGTTTCCAGACTTGTAGAACCATCCCTAGGGCTTGAGTCGTACCGAACCTCAGAAGGTGGGACTGGGGTGGGTGGGTTTGGAGGGTCCAGTCATATCGAACCTGAGGAGGTACGACTGGATAGAACCATGTGGAATTTGACATTTCCCAACCAAGAACCAATGAACAAAGAACACCTTCGTAGCTTCTTGTTGTAATGCCAGGAGCTATCGTTTGTAGTGTTCTTGCTTCGTTGGTAGCTTTTGCTCTTTATCCCTGTGCGAACGGGTCGACTCCAGGCGGTCTTTTCCAGCCGTCTCCCTCCTTGCCCCCCCTCGCGTGCCAGGGCCCATGTCGCACGTGGCGCTGCCCGCGGCGCACGCGGCGCCCCACGCCCCTCGGCGATCGCCACGCGGTGGTGGGGGGAGCTGCCACGCCGGGATCTGTCGGTTGGCCTGGAGCTCATGGAAACAGAACCCAGAGGATTTCGAGGAATTCCACCATACAAGGAATCATGTCATGGCTTTTATGTCCTGGCAGAAAACAACAAACATGTACCGAAACTACTCAACAATTGCTGAAGAATCAACACAAGCAAGCAATGCCACAACCGCAATAGCATGTCACTTTGCTCTTGCTCAACAAACATTCAGTCCTTCCAATTCTTTTCCTGACCACATTTCAAACATGACAATCCAACTAGAGAATTGCAGTGTCCAGGTGTTGCCCCGCCTCAGCCGGGATACCTTGTTGTGGTATCCCTCCAAGACTCGTCCGCTGAAACAATGCATGTGCCGAGAAATCAGCCCTCAGCTCACGCCAACTCCAAGCCAGCATACAACGAACATATAGGGGGCCAAAACATGTCGAAAAAAAATAGCTTCAACAGTCAGCATACCAAACCAAGCCTGCAGCAAAGCAAATGTGCAACGCCAAGCAAAACCTTGCTGGCAAACATGCAAACAGTGACAAGTGCCTGCAAGACGACTTGAAGCAGCATCGGATATGGTATACCCTCAGGTATGTTTTGACATTCAGCCTGGATTCAGTGACGAACATACAGACAAGGCTCCAGGATCCTCACCGCCATGCAAGCGTCATGCACTGCAGCGTGGAACTGAATGATCCTATTGATCGGCGCGTGCCCGATCTTCTCCACCTCTGACTCCGACAGGTGTTCGGTGCGAGCTGGTTGGCACACCCAGATTCAATTCCCATTCCACGAAGGCCTATCTCCCGCTCTCCTGAATGGTACATGGTATGGTTTGCTCTTTTGACTTGTGAGGCGATCGAAGGCCACAGTCTACTGGAGACCTTGCATTTTTGCAGGTGCGCCCGATCGGGCCTTATGGCTTGGGGTTCTCAAGAACAAAGGAGCTACGACCCTGCGACAAAGGATATGAACTTTGCCGGCTTTGCTTGCACCACCGGCATTCGAGAGCATAACATACGTTGGAAACGCTCAATTGTCCCTCCCGTGCTACACCCCAGGTTGTGCAATCTTGGACCCATGCTGAGGCATGGACAAGCAGATTTGCCTCCACCTCGGATGGTTCCCCAAACCATTGGGGCATCCCGGAACTGGGTGTCAAAGAGCTGGAGGACACGGATAGAGATAGCCTTCTCATCCTTCGTCAAATTGTCATCACTGACCTGGCCTGTTTGGGCAACGCGAAGCTTGGGCTTTCCGCCTTTAGGGAACACCTGGAAGATCCAGTGGACTGCAGCAAGTCCCCCATGGCAGCACGGTGTTCCTCGATACGGGTGACCGAAGCACACTCTGACATTGGTTTTCAGTGACTCAGTTACCACGATGGGAAG